CATTAGATTGAAAGTTCATATCACATTATATGTGTATATCAAATTTTGTTAAAATTGAGCAACAACTTGAAGGTGATCAAAATGTTCATATTTTAGTGTATTTTAAAATGAATATATTACGTCAATTTTGTTTGATAAAAATGAAATATCTAATCATCTTGGATTAATATAAAATTTGGTATATATGATCTAAGAGATATGAACTTTCAATTTAACGGTTAGATTTACAAAATTTGCATTTAATATAAAGTTATTGAACGGTGTAACACTTAGTAAAAGTTACCGGTGTCATTTGAACCCTCCTCATATATATATATAACCCAAGAATTTCAAATATTAAGGAACATTATTTTTAAAAATAAATGTTAATTAAAAATAAAAACAAAATATTTATTTTTAGCAAAAATCAGATTTACGTACTATTGAACAAGAATAGTTTTCGAACTAAATAGTCTTTTCCATTTGATAAATATATTTTATTTGACATTTTGACCATTTGATTAAAAGGAAATCAAATAATAATTTTTATTATTTTTTACGTGTTTGTATAAACTGTTTTTTTTATAATAATTTTATAATTTTTAAGAAGCAACTCTTATTAAATTTTAAAAAAATTACTTTTTTGACTTACCTTTTTTAGAAACACTTTTTTTAAAATATTAAAAAAATACTGATCCTTAATCATGCTGATCAATTTGACTTACATATTCTGTTTAATGAGCATTGTTTGTAATAAAAGTTTATAAATAATAAAAACTATTTTATTTTTAAAATATTTCATATACATATTTAATCTAAACTAGTATTTTTCATGTGTATATCATAGGTTAAATGTTTATTATATATAAATATTATATTAAATATTTAAATTTATATTTAAATTTTGTATAAATAGATAATATTTTAGATAAATAATTTATATTAAAATAAAATATTATTTTTAATATTTTTTTAAAATAAAATAAAATAAATGAATAAATATGATAAATAAAAAATTGAATTAAAAAAATTTAAGAAATTCCTTAAAAACATTCCTGTTAAAAAATAATCTCTAAAAATATTTTCGTGCAAAATATTCGTTTACATTTAATTTATTGAATTTGATTAAATAAAAACTGTATCGGTTTATTTAATAAGTACATGCTTTAATCATTTTTTAAAATTTGATTGACTGGATATTATATTTAACAGATACACTATTAATATGTATGAACAGTCAATTTTACATGAAGAACTAATTATGTTGTTGACTATACTGTATAATTAATTTAGATAATATTATTAAATATTAATTTATTGAGTATAGTATATATATTTGGTTTAATTGCATTTTTGATCTCTCAAGTATAATAATTGTGCAATTTTGGTCCCTAAGGTTTTAATTGAATAATTTTAGTCCTTAAAAGATTGCAATTGTGTGATTTTAGTCCCTCAATTTTTAATTGAATAACTTTAAACCCTCAAATATCATAATTATGCGATTTTAGTCTTTTTCATTAAAAATTTAATAATTTTAAAATTTATATATATATATATATATGTATAATATTTTAAAATTATACAATTATTTAGTATTTTAATATTACTAATAAATTAATATCAATAATATTTTTAGTATATCACATAGTTTGTTACATCATTGGTATGCGGCATAAACGGCACACCTGGAGTTATATATATATATATGATAGATGTCATACATTCACAATTTCATTGACTTAACATTTCACTTATCACGGAATTTCATTTATTGTCTCACATCATTATTTTTCATATTCTCATAGCTAGTCATAGCTTATCTCAATAGTCCATTTTCATGTCTCATGTCATTTGTTCATATTTCACATAGTCATGTCATGATTGTTCATCATAAGGTCCGCACAGGAATCCATAGAGAACACTCTTCTTCATATTAAAACTTATTTATTTTTAAAATTAATTACATATTCATTCATTACTTCCAACAAGGAACACAGTAGGGCAAACAAAAAGTAAAACAGAACACATTCATGTTCCTAGAAACATACATCAAGCAAGGGATTGAGGTCAATCTGACTACCCAACAATTATTCCCACACCCCTGAGCGAGGTTGCAGGAGCTGAAACTAAAGCAGAACCTTGCTAATTTTCTCCTCTGGATTCCCTATTTCTTTCTCTTTCTCTCTTTCTCTCTCTCTCTTTCTCTCTCTCTCTCTCTCTCTTTCTCTCTCTAAGTTTTCACCCTTGATCAGTTATAATTTTTTCACAGCCCCTCCCTCCTATTTATAGGCATTCATGGGTACTTGGAACGACCCGTTCTGAATCCGGAACAGCCCGTTCTGGAGTCATTCATTATATGCAAAATTTATAACTGGAACTGTCCGTTCTCAAAATCAGAACGGCCCATTTTTAAAATCAGAACAGCTCGTTCTCAAAATTAGAACGACCCGTTTTGGAGTTTATTTTAACACACATTGACCATAATTGGAACGGCCCGTTTCCAACTAAAGTTTTTAGGCATTTTTAGAATCTTGGAACGGTCCGTTCTGGAATAACCAAAATTTGTCTCTTTACCAATTTGGAACGGCCTGTTCCACCATTTGAAACGGCCCGTTCTGGTCCTTTAAAAATAGTTTACTTTTATCGTTTAGGACAGCCCATTCCACTTTTTGGAACAGTCCGTTATGGCCTAAAAAAATAGAATTTCAAATAAAAATTAAATTTTTTTAAATCTCTAAAATGTTCTATAAAATTTCATTAAATAAGCTCCATAATTATAAAATAATAATAATTAACTATATAGAAGATTCGGAATGTTACATAGTGAATTAGAAATAACTAACATTTATGTTTATATTAAAAAATTAATATATGATTATTATTATTATTTCTTATTTATGATAAGTGTAACAAATTAAAATTGAAATAAATATAGGAATATAATTAAAATAGTAATTAATAATATATTAATTTTTTAAAATAAATCATCATTTTTTTCAAATTTTATAAATAAAAATGGAATATTGACCGTGATTTTTATATTAACAACGAAGTTAATTTATTATTTTTTATTATTTTATTCTTTAGATGAGCATAAACCAATATGAAACTTTCATGGTCAATCAACTTTACTTGTAGTACTAATTAGTAATTAGAACGAATATTTAAATTTTTATGAATACAATAACCTTATAATATGATCTAAACATTTTATTGAAAACATATTTAAATTTTATATTTATAGGAAATTAAAAATAACCTTGCGTCAAATTTTAGAATGTCTTTTTTATGTTACGAATAGCCACTTAATAAATAGAATTTAATTGTCATACAATGCATAATTTTTTTTACCAATATAAAATTATGATTTGTACTACTTATAAGGTAATTATTTAAAAGTCAATAAACTTATTTTTATCATTTATGATGTATTGTGATTGAATGATTATATAAAAATAATTTTGCATTGTTCATTAAACACAAATAAATATATGAAAAATAAATATTAATAATACACTTTTATGAAGAAAAAATAAATATATCTAGGGTGATAAAGTCTATGAATTAAGTGGTACAATGACCGATAATGGTGATTCAGGTGGATTCCACCTCCAAAGGGAGTCTACAAACTTAATTGTGACATCATGTGGTGATATTATTAGAGACCATCATGGTAGACTTGTGTGTTTTCTTTGTTAAATCAGAAATTTGTTATGTGGTGGGAAGCTGAATTCTGGGCAAATTGCAATGGGGCTTAAGGTGATGCATGATAAATGCATTTGAAAAGGTGTTAGTAGAGTTTGATTCTTCATTCACTGTTAAATTTTTAAATTATAGATGCTATATCATCTTTGTTATTGAAGTGTGTCTTGTGGCATATATTAAGAGAGACATATGAAGTTGCAATTTTTTAGTGAAACATGGAAGAACTAGGACATACTACCTTTGTGAATTCAGATTCTCCTTCTTGATAATATTTCAGTTGTTTTTTTCTTCTGTGACTTAGTTTAGACGATTAGCTCCCGTGTGTACAAAAAAAAAGACCAATGATTGTTCATTATTTGATCAAATATAAAACAAATAAACATTAGAGAATCTGAACTCTCAGTTACAATCCAACACAGCAATGTAAATTTTCAAATGCAAAAGGATCCGCCAAGTAGTTGACAGTTGACAGACATATAAAAGTGTTTGCCAAAAAACTTCCGTAAGGGTAAGGTACAATCCAAACCTCAACAGAGAACAAATAATAACATTGTCATTTTCCTCACCTTCCGGTAAAACAATCAGATTAACCTAGTTTAACACAGTTTTCGTAAATGTTTAAGATTTTTTTTTAATCGGGCCACAAATATGATTCGGAAAAATACTTGCATATCACCTCTAGACAGTTTGAAAAAAGTATTAATCAGAAATAAGAACGATATATAGTTCCAAAAAATGAAGAATCGTATAATAATATTTTGAATACTATTTATTGGCTTATACTCTTTTAGTTCTAATAAATTTTATAATATATGATCATATTATATTGATGTTACTAGCATATCTTCTCAACTTTATGATTTTTCTCTTATCAGAAATTACTAGTAAAGTAATAAGCAACATTGTGATGGGGAAGAGAATGAATAAATGACAACTATTGTCAAGAATTAAGAGATATGGTCAAATTTGGTATCATAAAAGTGTAGTTTATAGAAAAGAGAAAAGAAAAATATTTACTTTAGGAATAAACTGTCGGATATTTTTGGGAATCCAATAACAAAAGTTATTAAGCTGCGCGACAAAACTCAAGTGCAATTCGCGATATCTTCACAAAGAAAGGTTGCCAAGCTTATCTAATTTGTGCCATACGGAATTGTTTTCGTGTGTAACAAAACTCAATACTTGTTTCTCTAAAATGCATGTACAAATGAAAATGTATTGTACTAAGTTGTTAACTCTAATTAACACTATTTAGAGATATTTTGTATCAATCACCAATATAAACAAATGCATGAAACAAAACAGACACGCAGGAATACAGTAAATGCGGCGATATAATATTTAAAAACAATAGTTCATATCCACGGAATAAAAGGAAAAGATAAACTTAAGAACAATGTTCGACATATTCAAAGTCAAAATACACATTCAAATCCAATTTGCGTCCGATCTTAGAAGCAGGCATCTAACAGGCAGCAGCAGCAGAGAGCAGCCAAGCTGCAATAATCCACAAATTCAAACAAATTAGAATATTTCCACAGAACAAAACATTCTAATTTCATCAAATACTGTATTTGTTTTTTATTTATCAAAAAACAATGAAGAAAGAAACAGAAAACTCAAAGACTATTGATTTTTCTCATTTTCAAAGTTCTGATTTATTATAAATTATAATTTGCTATATAAAAAATAATTTAATTAAATTACGGTATTAATATAAAGTCATAAAGAGAAATTTGAATGTAATTATTATTATTTAAAACATTAATTAAATATTTTAGATTAGTTGAAAAATACACAAGTGGGGTCCAGCCAGAAAGATAACATCCACTTCGAGTAACGTGCGCGTGAGAGAAAGTAAGATGATAGCAGACAAGACAACGCAACGACTGATAAATCCATGAGAGGAGAGGCAGGAGCACGATAGATGACTGTGCACCCGCAACAACAATCAATGGATCTGAATCGGTGGAACAGTAGACATGCAATTTCACTCTTTCTATTTTGATTTTACAATTCAATTAGTTAAATAGAGAGAGAAAACGCACCATCCTTCTAAGCAACCAGGGCCGGTTGAATTGTGCTGTTGCTGCGGCGGAGGCTGAGCGTACTGAGGAGGCGCGTAGGGTGGAGGGTAACCCTGTGCCGGATACGCCTGAGGAGGGTACCCTTGCGGTGGATACCCTGGCGGCGGGTACGCATCCTTTCCATAGGACTCTCCCGGTGCCGGATAACCTACTCCCATACATAAAAAATTTGTGAGAATCAAAATCATGAAGATCTCATCCCAAGGCACTAGCATAAACCCACATGCAACACTTTGATTCAAAATCAAAAATTAAATTAAATTAAAGGAAGGAAAAAGAAAAAGGGAGGAAAGCAATTGATTGACCTTGGGGCGGAGGAACTCCCACGGGCGGTTGCTGCTGGTTGTAGTAACTCATTGTTGGGGGTGAGAAGAGAGAAGGGGTGGGTGTGAGGGTGTCTTATTGAGAGAGAAAGGTATTTAATGGATTTGGAAATTGGAACAGTGGGTGCGTGGGTTTTGTTTTCGGTTTTCCACCTTGGAGGTTATAACCGAGGATACCTTTTTCCAATGCTATGCGCTGTTTCTTTCTTTCTTTTTTTAAATTATATATCTTTATCTTTTATCTTTTTTTATTTCTTTATCTTTTAAAATGTTAATTATATTTTTTATCTTTTAAATTTAAATTAATTTATCTTTTTGAAATGATGAGTATTTTTAGATTTTAAAATATAATTTAGATTATTTTTTTACTGATATAAAATTTAAAATTTATCTCATTAAATTCACTCATATAAAAATAAAAATTATTAAGTGTAACTAAAATTCAAATAAAAAATATTATAAGTATGATAAAATTACATAAAAATAAGTTTAAAAAATAATTAAATTTTAAAAATTATAATTTTATATTATTTTTTAATTATTGATTAGACATATTATTATTATATTATAATTTTTATGAATTTAAATGTTAATTAAAAATTTTAACTTTTATACGATTGAATCTATTTTTATAATTTTTATATTTTAAATTAGTCAAAAATTAATTTAAAATTGTATTATAAATTAAAAATTATTATTATTTTAAAATAACTAAATTAATTTAAATATGAAAGATAAACAATTAAAATAAATATTTTAAAAACATCTTCACTGTATAATTGTTTGGGGTGTTTCTTATATAACTTTTGATAGGTCCAATTTACTACATATATTTGTATATGCTACTTCATTGATGACAACATAATTTTTTATTTCTTTTTATTATTATGAATATCTTAAGCATAAGTGTTTATATAAATAATTGTATTCAGATAAGTAATATCATATCATTTGCTTCAATGGCAAATTAGATAAAATCTCATTAGATAAAATCTCATTTCTTAACTTTTAAGGAACTTGAAAAAATAATTCCATTAAAGATGCTCTAATAGATAAATGGTTAAAATACGTTTAATAAATAAGATAAATATATATATAAATATATATATATATTAACAATAACATTTATTTGGTGAGAACCTGTAACCAACATCCCATCATAACACGTCATACTCCAAACATAAATTTATAATTAGCCTCCTCAACTTCTTTTTTCCTCCTTCAATGAATGGCACTAGTATACTATTTACTATAATATTCCGTGTCAAATGCGCGTATGCAACTCTGCACGCCATAACACTTTTTTTTTCTTTCTATTACTCTATTTTTTTATCATTCTTGCTCTTCATATTTTTTTATTATTGATAATTTATTTTAAATTTTAAAATATTAATATTTTTAATAAGAATTAAAATTTAATTAGATAAAGATTAAAAATGAATTTTATAAAAAATTTTAATTATAAAAATTACTAAAAATTATATCATACAAAATAAAAATTTGTATTTAATAAAATTTAGAGTTAATATATAAGAGTTTATTATTTAACTTTTTATCTTATTTAATTTTTATTTATCATATTTATTTATCAAATAAATGATCAATAATTAAAAATATTTTTATATTATAATATAAATTATTTATTTTAAATATAAAATATAATTTATATATAAATATAATAATTATTTTTTATATATTTATTATAAATTTTAATTATATATAATAAATATTTAATCTATAAAATAGACAAACTAAAATATTAGCTTAACTTTATAGAAGAATCTACTAGAGCTGCAGAAAATTATAAATAAATAACTGAAATATGTTATTTTATCTGGCATCTAAAAATTATGTACTTAAAAAAAATTAACTTGTTTTAACTGAGTCTTATTTTAACTTTTTATTCACATAAAAGTTATCATTTTAATTCGAAAGATAATTTTTAATGATTATTAGGGAAAATAATTTGTTACATTTAAAAAGAGCCATTTATGATTTTGATATATTTAAAGTTTGATGTCGTCTAGTTTATTTAATAAAAAAATATCAAATTTTAAATTTTAAAAAATTGAATTAAATTTATTAAAAAATTTGTAAAGTCTTATAGATTAATTTATTTATATATATAATAATAAATAATTAATAATATAATTAAATAAATAAAATTATAATAAAAAAACAAATTACTAATTTTTTTTAATATTTTTACTATCTTAATTAAATATTTTACATTTTTTATTTAACAAAATCAAAAAATTAAGAAATAGAAAACTTAATTGTCACATCTTTACTTTTCATTCCTCGTTAGGGTTGTTTACTTATAATGTTTCAAATGAAGTATTTTTAATATTTAAAAAGTTTTTTTTTTTTTGTATAATATCATTTTTTTTTCATGATACATGTGCATAAATGTACATAATTACGTGAATTATTGCTTTTACATTAATTTTATTTTTATTTGAAATTTTAAATTTTAAAAATTATTTAATAAATTAGTTTTTTATCAACAAAAAAAACTCACATGCCTATTTAAAAAATACATTTTTTGAATTATTTAAAATTAAATTGATTTATTTATTTAATATTATTAATGTAAAATATATTTTTAAATAAGTTAATGGTCAAATTAGACTTTTTAAAAGGTTAAATTAGTTTAGGAAAAAAAATATATAATAAACTAAAATTAAACTTTAATTTTAATATATATATATATATATTAAGCTAATAATACTTAAAAATTATTTAAGTTTAAGAATCAACTTAAATAATTATATTGGATTTGCTCATACATATTACAAAAATGAATTATTTTCATCACCACATTCAAAAGTGGCTAAAAAGTATGATAACTTTTAGTATTACTTGACATGTATTCTCCCACAATACATTTTTTTTCTAAAAACCCTATCATGTAAATTATGGATTGAAATATTTTAAAAATATATATCTAAATTATATTTATTTAAATAGTTTAGATTTAAAATTCATATCCATGTTTTTATAAAAGTAAATCTGAATTTTTTGAAATCAATTTTAAAATTAGTTCAAAGTTTAAAATCAGTTCAAAATTTATTTTTTTAAAATTATTTATCAAATTTTACATAACTTGATAAGTCACCATATTTAATATAACAAAGTACAACATAGCAAAAAAATAGCATTGCTTGACTATATTAAGCTTGTCATCTGACAATCATTTGAACACACATATAATAATTATATGTATAGAGTGCATAAAACATAAAAATATAAATTCTCTTAAATGGTTACCTACATACCTTATACACATAGACCTTATACACGTAATATATTAATTACACACAAAATAACCTTATTGCCAGTCAGCGTTTTCATACAACAAAAATGTCCAAGAATAATAGCATCACAAAACTGAGTCGTCTTCAAAATGACCCTTCACCAACATCCAAGCTAATCTTGTCAAGTTCTCATACTAAGTAGAATCATTATAATTCAACCACATGAAAATAAAAATGGAAAGTTTGTGAAAGAATTTAACATACAACAACAACATAAAGTAATAACGTAAGCAACTTAAACAACAAATTTTCACAAAACACAATTTTAGCTTATCACCAACTACAACCCATACAAGTTACAACACAACACAACCTAACAACTTCAACATAACAACATTCTTGACATAAACGAAGATAAGCAAATAACATATCATCACGCACATCAACTATGGAGATCTCTTACAATAAAAGTCATTAGAGTGTCAAGTATACAACTCAAATTGATTTATCAGGTTTTGTCACTTAAATTAAAAAAAGTATAATATTACAGTTAGGTAGAACAACTTAGGCGTGAGTTTGTTACAACCTTAACATGTATAAACTAAGTCTCTTATGAGATTAGTCAACTGACTATTCTCTAAATACTACGCACCCTTCCAGTAATTGAGTAGAGATTTTAAGCATCAACTTTATATTTTATACAATTGATCACTTTATACACATATGGGTTGACCTAGCTCCCATACGAATTCCACATAAAACCTCGACAAGACAACATAAAATAACTACTCATTCAAAAGTTAACTTACTTATAGAAGGGTCTCAACTTGGGATCTCAAAACATCACAACTTATATTCACATAATTAATGAGATACTTTAATTTTTAAAATAATTTTACTCTCTTATAATTTACATATATCTCAACTAAGACATGTATCTTCATCACATGCCTAATAATTTTACAATTCAAACAACTATAAACATCATACAATTTTACAACTTCATTAACTTTTAGCATACAACTTACAACTTAATTAACTTCATCAATCTCCATTATTGGCAACTTTAAACATCATCACTTATATAAGTAATCCTTCATATCTCAACATTCTTCATATAATTGAGACATTATTCTTTGACTTTTAGTAACATAAAACATCATATTTCATCAATTAACCAACTTCTAAGTTCTAACATCATTCTATATGCATCTGACGCTATTGAGAGAATAAGTTTTATGTTTTAATTACGTCTAACATCATTCCACTAGCACCCACTATGGATGAGGTAGGGAGCTTCTTAATTTCTCATGCTTAGCGTGACAAAACTCATGTCTAACTTCATTTCAAGTAGAGAGCCTTTGCTTGATTGATCCCAACGTCACAATACTAACGCCTGACATGGTCGTATAGATAAAGAGTCTCTATCTTGATTCACACTTGGTGTCTTCTCCATTAGAATCTAATGTCACTAAGTCAGAGACGTTTTTCTCTTTTCATTATGCCTATCATAATCAAGTAAAAGGCTTTTTTCTCTATTTCATGCTCAATGCCACCAATTATACATCCGACATAATAAGGGTAAAGAGCTCCTAATTTGAACTATTCCCTGTAGCTAACATAATCATATTTATAAAAAAAAATTGTATACTCTTTCTTATGCTAAACCAACTTAAGTTTGACTCAAACTATTTTAGAGACAACTAAATTCAAGTCACTTAACTCTAAAGCTTTAGAACAACAAGTATAATCAACAAAAATAATTTAATCATATATCACATATAATTTAAATTAAAACACCTAAAACACACAATATTACAAAATTCAAAATCAATTTTAAATCTAATCAATTTTAAAACTATATTTAAATCACAATTTGATTTAGGATTC